ATTCAAATATAAAACTTTAATAAGTTGTACTTACGCACAATTTACTTGTAATCTTGAATTTTAAGTAATATGCATTAATAAATAATATTTTATACATAAAAAATGGTTTTTAAAAGTTTTTGTCAAATACTTTATAATATAGTATAGATTTTAATCTTTTAAAATGAAATTTAAAAAAAAAATATTTTTGACATTAAAATAATAATAAAAATAAAAATAATATAAAATTCAATAAATTTAATAATTTGATTAGATGGTTTAACTAGCATAATTGAACAAACATTTGGTAAGGTAGATAAACCTTCTTTTCCCAAATATGTCCATTCTTTAAGGTTTTGAATATTTATTTTTTAATTAATTTAATTTTCCAAATCATCCATCACATATTTTGAAATTTTTATGTGGTTACCGAAATCAGTTACAAATAAAGTTGAGAGTAAATTTCAGAACAGATTTAATTCACATCGTTAGTTTGATAATATGTACAAACAGTTAAACTGGTTTGTATGGTGTGTAACATTTAAGCAGTTTGCATTTGATTTGACCTATATATATATATATATATATAATTTTAAATACAACCATGTCTATTTGTACAACCAATGCAACCCAATCAATTGAGATATTTTTGAAAATGATGAGAGTTCATTTATTATGATTTGAATATTTATGGAAGATGACTAGAGTTCATTAATTATGATCAATACTTTATATTATGAAACAATCAAAACTTTTATAAAATCACATATTTATCAAATTAATTGAATGGTTGAGATTTAGTTATATTGGTTGTGCAAATATAAATGGTTGTATAATAACTCTCTCTTTCACACACACACACACACATATATATATTTATATATATGTATATGATATTGCTTTTAGTAGACCTTCTTATATGCAATGTTTTTTAAAATACTAATTGCACATATGAAGAACTAGTTGAAATGGTAGAAGTATTGGATACAAAAGATTAAACAGATCAAATCAGATCCAATGGGTAAACAATAATCTAGACTATATTATAAAACATTTGATAAGAACTCTTAAAAATCATTTTTATGCATTAAGTACTGTTTATTGATGCATATTACTTAAAGTTCAAGATTACAAATAAACTGTGCGTAAATACAACTTATTAAAGTTGCAGGTTTAATTTCATGTAACTAACTGTAGATAAACGTAGTAAAATACAAGATAAACATTTCATTTTAAATATAAAAAATCTAAAATATAATTAGGATAATCATTGAGTTCTAACAGAATACTTAATTCTTATCCATATAAAAAATTATATTATTAAATCAAAAATAAATTACTTGATGATTAAATCTAAATTAAATCATAATAAAAGTTTAAATTAAAGAAATTACACTAAAAACAAGAACTTTTAAATAGTTAATTTGATACTAATATTGATATATTTATTTTCGAAATTTTTGATATTTTTAAATTTATATTTTATTATAAAATAAAAACATTATTTATTTTCTCAAAATCACATAAACCGTATTATAACATCTACAGAGACGAAATAAAACGAAACATTAAAATCGAGATATACCTCGCTGCATTGCACGAGTAACCTTCTAGTAATATCTAATATACGAAACCATTCTGATCCAAATTATCAATTGGATTGGATTAGATCTATTATGCGATAGAAAGTTGGATTAAATCAAATGACAAAATCCAATATCCAGTAACTAATTTGATCAGGTCAGATCGACCTAAATCTATCGAAATTCAAACGATAAACATCCTTAAATCTTATCTATAAATAGTATTTATTTGTTAATACTAGAAGAGTACTCGTGCAATGCAGCGAGACACATTTCGATTTTAATGTTCTATTTTATTCGTTGTCACTGTCGATATTATAATATGATTTTATGTGTTTTTAAGAAAACAATAATGATTTTATTTTTGAATAAAATAAAAATTTGAAGATATCATAAAAAATTGAAAAAAATATATTAATATTGATATCAAATCAACTATTTAAAAGTTCTCATTTTTATGTAGTTTCTTTAATTTATTTTTTTATTATAATTTAATTTAAGTTTAATAATAAAATAATTTATTTTTGGTTTAATAATATAACATTTTATAAAGATAATAATTAAATATTCTGTTAAAACTCAATGATTATTCTAATTATATTTTAAATTTTTTATATTTAAAATGAGGTGTTTATTTGCAGTCTGTTACACGAATTCAGATATGGAGATTTAATAAGTTGTACTTACGCAAAATCTACTTGTAATATTGAATTTTAAGTAATATGCATTAATAAACAGTACTTTACACATAAAAAATAGTTTTTAAGAATTTTTGTCAAATGTTTTATAATATAACATAGATTAGAATTTAAAATTCTAATTTCAAACAAATTTTAATAAACAATAAAAGACATTTTTTTTATTAAAAATAAAAGTACAAGTAGTAATGCACATGAAGCATGAGACGTAACGGCTAATTTGTTACAAAACGACGTGCAACAACGTCGGGAAAACCAATTCATTTCATAAAACAATATTGGTTACAATCACTAATGCACGTTGTACAATCACTAATGCACGTGATACCATGAACAATGTAATTCATGCATCAATGAGTTGTACGTGGGACCCACGTGGTACTATTTCATTGGGGGATATCTCGTGCCTTTGAAAAATCTCAAGTTCTAACGGTGTACTGCACACACACATTAATAAATTCACCGAAATGCTGCAAGTCACGTGACTAGAAATATTAAAAAAAATAATCCAAAAAAAGTGGACGTTAAGCAAAGGTTAGTACTTTTTCCAGAAATATAATTACTAAGTTGTGTTATGAACGCTTTAAAGACTAGTACTTTGTGCATTTAAAGTTGTACGTAACTCTGGATTTAAGTTTTCAGCTCTGGAAAGTAACGTAGACCGAGTTACATCTTTAATTTAATAAATTAATAAATTAATATTATTTTTTCCTGACAAAACCCAGATGAAAAATCCATGATCTGAGTAAGCTTCTCAGAGAGATTGAGAGCAGAAACGGTTGCTGCTAAGAAGGTAAATGCAGATAAAACTTTCGATTCACTTTGTTTTCATGGAATCACGGAGATTTTGGGGGTTTTTTTTTCTATTTTATTTTTGATTTATTATTGGATTTTAAATACGAAAATGATGATAAAGTCGAATCCAAATGAATTTGAGGGGAGTTACCGAGATATATGGTGAATTCAAGTAATTGGGTTGTTGGTTTTGATTGAAATCCCTTTTTTTGCGTTTATATATTGGGTGAAAAATTGTTGATTTCAGCTGTTATATTTTGTGGGTTTTTGATAAATTGCAGTTTTGATTTGAAGAACAGAAGCTTAATCGGGTGTTTTATGAGCTTTGGTGGAAATACTCACTTTGTGTTTGGGACCCACCATTACTGAAAATTCCAAGCTTTCACCTGCTTTTTTTGTATTTAAGAATTTGCATTAAAGAAAGAGAGAACCAGTTACTTAGTTTTCAAGCAAGTAGGGTCATCTTAAGCAAAGATCTCTGTTGTGTGGTCTCCAAAAAATGGGATTTTTTAGGTTCTTTTTCTCCTTTGGTTCAATCTTGAGAATAAAGATTAAGCAAAGTTCTAAATCACCCAACAAACCCATGATTATCTTTTAAAACCCCTTTTTATAATTTGGATCTTTGTGTTCTGTGTGATGGGTTTTTTATATAATCCTAAAAATTAGCCTTTTTTCTGTTGTGTTTTATGCAGATAATGGATTGATGACATGTGGGACAAGAATTGGTGCTTGCTTGCTCCCTCTCTTTCGGGCAAAGCAGAAACAACCACTCTGTTCTTAACATCTTAACTGTCATTGCATATATTAGGGTTTAGAAATGGTGGTTGAATGAGAGATTTTTCTTGATTTTGTGGGGTTTAGAGTGGAAAACTGGACATGGGTATTTAGTTTTTTGATGTAATTTGTGAGAGAAATGGGGGCTATTGGTGGGGAGGAGTTGATGAAGTGGGAGAAAATGGATGGTGTTGGTAATGGAAGAGAAGAGAAGATTTTGGTGTTGGTGAGATTGAGGCCTTTGAATGAGAAAGAAATTTCTAGAAATGATGTTTCAGATTGGGAATGTATTAATGATACAACAGTTCTCTTTAGGAATAGTCTGCAGGAAAGATCCATGTTCCCTACTGCATATTCATTTGGTAAGTGGATTTTTTTTATATTTCTGTTAATTTATTGTTAAATCTTGATCTTTTTAAAGTTCTAAATGAAACTGAAATGCCATTAGGCATGTCATAAGTTTTGAATCTAATTGGTTTGTTAACTTGGAAAGATTCATGTTCCCTACTTCCTATTCATATGGGAAGTGGATTTTCTTGATTTTTCTGTTTGTTTATTCCTTGTATTTTGTTAACTCTTGATCTTTTTAGGGTTCTAAGTAAAACTGAAATGCCATTTGATATGATATAAGTTTTGAATCTAATTGGTTTGTGAACTTGAGATCCATGTTCCTACTGTGCCTATTCATTTGGGAAATGGATTTTCTTGATTTTTCTGTTGATTTATTCTGATTTTTTGTTAGATATTTCTCTTTTTAGGGTTCTAAGTAAAACTGAAATGCCATTTGATATGATATAAGTTCTGAATCTAATTGGTTTGTGCACTTGAGATCGATGTTCTCTACTGTCTATTCATTTGGGAAGTGGATTTTCTTGATTTTTTCTGTTCTTATATTTTGTTAAATCTTTATCTTTTTAGGGTTCTAACTAAAACTGAAATGCCATTTGATATGATGTAAGTTTCGAATCTAAGGTGGCGTTTGTTTTTTAAGAGTTGCTGAAGTCTGAAGTCTGAATTTTAAGAGGTGGTGCTGAAGTCTGAAATCTGAATCAGTCGGACTGTTTGTTTTTATGTCTGAAATCTGAATCAGTCGGACTGTTTGTTTTTACGTCTGAAATCTGAATCAGTCAGACTGTTTGTGAACTTGGAAAGATCCATGTTCCCAACTGCCTATTCATTTCGGAAGTGGATTTTCTTGATTTTTCTGTTAATTTATTCTTATATTTTGTTTTAAAAATTGATCTTTTAGGGTTCTAAGTAAAAGTGAAATGCTATCTGATATGTTATATGCTTTGGATCTATTAGTTTTGTTATCTCTAAAATTAATCCTTAAATTAATTTTGGGTCTTAATTTTTTCTGGCTATTTTATTCATATTACTATTCTTTAATCAAACCATGAATCAATGTGGTAATTTTATTAATCACAGATCAGATCATGTTTAAGATTTGCTTTTGGCTTTATTCCAAACTAATTTATATTCTATACACCAAAATGTACTGACATTAGTCATGATTAGTTCATTAAAAAACCATAAACTCGATACCTAAACGAGTCATTTTGGTATACAACTTTAAATGAGATTTAAATTGAATACATGACCTCATGACCTTTTAAAAATGGTTTCATACCATCATTGATTTGATTAAAATCTCATTTAAGGTTATACACTAAAGACTCTGGTTCAGAGGAAAACCAGAAAAAACAGAAAAATGAGGAACACCTTAATAACCATTCCTCTGTATAGCATGCATATGTGCATAAAGATACTTGAGTATGTTTCCTAGTTTCTATGCACGTGTGCATACCGGACAAGTTATTTTTGTATACATGTGAATAATGTAAAGATGAATTGTTTATTAGGGTGATTTTTTTTGTGGTTTTCCCTTGAACTCAACCCTATACCTAAATATACCAGGGGTTATTTAATTAAATGACCTTAAATGAGTTTTCAATCGTTTGGTAATAGATCGAGTATATGGTGGAGACTCGACGACTAGGCAAGTCTACGAGGAAGGAGCTAAAGGGATTGCACTTTCGGTTGTTAGTGGCATCAATTGTAAGTCGGATCCACTTTGCGCTTTCCAATTCTTCACAAGCCGGGGTCTTTATGGAAACAACTGCTCTACTCTTTGGGGTAGAGGTCAGGTCTTTGACCCCACATCCCGTTGGGATATACGTTGTTTATTTTGGTTTGGTCCACTAATGAATTCTCTCCTTCTTTTAGCAAGCATTTTTGCATATGGGCAAACGAGTAGTGGGAAAACATACACGATGACAGGGATAACAGAGTATACCGTGGCAGATATATATGATTATATGCAAAAAGTACGAAACTTTTTGTATCTTTATGGTTTATATATCTAAAGTTCAACCATTTCTTTGTTGGTATTATTCATATACAATCGTTGTTTGAAGTAACAATTTGTTGTTTCTTTCTTCAGCATGAAGAAAGGGCGTTTGTTTTGAAATTTTCGGCTATAGAGATCTATAACGAAGCCATAAGAGACCTTCTAAGCACAGAAAATATCCCACTTCGGGTTTTGGATGATCCGGAGGTGATTTCATGTCAATTAATATATGTAACGATATCATTGTATACACAATATTTATGTAGTTTTTTTAATTAATCCCAGAAAGGGACAATTATAGAGAGACTTACAGAGGAAACTTTAAGGGATTGGAGCCACCTCAAACAACTTCTATCCGTTTGCGAAGGTACTTGGCTTTTTTTTTTACGGCAAATATCTTTTTTACGTACCGTGTCTTATTGGGTTGTCAGATTTAATTGCTTAACTGCAAAATGTAAACCAACCCAAATGAGCCCTGTATATTGAACCTGGAGGTGGGGTTTGCACTGGCGAGGGTGGTTTTGGTTCAGAAGTTGGAACCAAGTAGGAAAATTTGGGTTCATGGTTCGGGCCAAAAGCAGACTTAGATTGAACCTTAAGCTCCTAATAACTTGTATGCACATGGCTGTTTTGCAGCTCAAAGAAAAGTGGGAGAGACATCCCTCAATGAAACAAGTTCAAGATCTCACCAGATTCTTAGGCTGGTAGGCTTCCTCCTTCTATATTCTCTAATTATATCATCTTCATGTCTATATGTATATATATGTATATGCAGATAGGGGCATGACCATTTGAGAACCGTGAATATTCATGAATATCTAGGTATATTCATCATGAATATCTAGGTATATTCATCATGAATATCTAGGTATATTCATCATGAATAGTTCATGATAAGTTGGCTTTCACGGTTCTTTAAATACTTGTAATTCCTAAATGAACTTTTTCCATATGCAGATATTTTATGCATGTATGTCTGTATTCTTAAAGTGAATAAACTTTACCAATGATTGATCTGGTGTTTGCAGACGATTGAAAGTTCGGCTCGTGAGTTCATAGGGAAGGATAAGTCGACAAAACTTGCAGCTAGCGTGGTATTGGCACTATACTTCCGTTTTATACCATTCGACTTGTAATTCGGGAATTTTAACACGAAAAATGACATAAAGAAACATAGATATTGTAGGGGGTTTTATATAATTAAGTTACCGTTTGCAGAACTTTGTTGATCTTGCCGGAAGTGAGCGCGCAGCTCAGGCATTATCGGTGGGGCAAAGATTGAAAGAAGGTTGCCACATAAATCGTAGTTTATTGACATTGTCGACTGTGATTCGGAAGCTAAGGTTTGGCTGTTTCTGTTACCTTTTTCCATTGTTCCAAAAACGTCAATTGCAACATTTCTTCCAGAAATTTCCATGTATAAAAGTTACTCCCTCCGTTCCAAAATAAGCGTCTACAAGATTACAAAGGGTAAAAATGTCATTTATAGTTAACTAAAAGTGTAATAATTACATATTTCTAAAACCGTCTATTTTTCGTTGCGGATATTTATGTGTCCACAAGATTACAAAGGGTATTTTGGTCATTTGGCTATAAACGATAGAATGTGAACCGATTTGGACGTTTACATTTTCAAATTGTTTCTTGTCAAACAAGTAATTGACAATGAACAGCGATGATCAAATGCAGCAAGGGCAAACATGGGCATGTTAATTACCGGGATTCGAAGCTGACACGCATATTGCAACCGTGCTTGGGAGGCAATGCACGAACGGCCATTATTTGCACCTTAAGTCCGGCTCGAGAACACGTTGAACAATCCAAGAATACTCTTCTATTTGCTAGTTGCGCGAGGGAAGTGACTACAAATGCTCAAGTTAACGTGGTGATGTCCGATAAGGCCTTGGTGAAACATTTACAAAAAGAATTGGCCAGATTAGAAAATGAGCTAAGAACACCCGCCCCTCCGGATTATACGGCACTCCTGAGGAAGAAAGATCAACAAATTGAAAAGGTATGGTTGCAAGTCCCATTGTTAGACGTGCCCTAAAGTTTGCCGGGGGGTTTTCTCATAAACAATCTCTCTGTCTCTTGAAACGAGGGAGGTTCAGGGGAAAACCTCCCAAAAGAAATGTAAAATTGAGCATCTGGAAGATATACAAGTAATTGAAGTTGTTTCTTGGTTTTTATGCACATGTGCATGTTATGCACATCTGCATACCATACAAATTGCTTACAAATTACTTGTATGCACATGTGCATACCGTCCAGATGAGCGGTTGGTTACATGGCTCTTCAGTTTTGGTTTTCCCCTGAACCTGACCCCTCTCGAGATAGAGGTAAGGTCTACATATATCTACCCCTGACCTTACCTGTCCCGGGTGGTGGAGATACTGGGTTTGTTTGGTTTGGTTTAGAGAGATAGATAAGCGGTAATGTCTGCATATCTCTACCCCTGATCTTGCTTGCTGGGGGATATACTTAGTTTGTTTGGTTTAAAGCTTTCCGGGGGTTCTTGAAAACTCTCCATCTCTTGAGATAGAGGTAAGGTTTGCGTACACCCTAGACCTTACTTTGCGGGTGGGATATACTAGGTTTGTTTGGTTTACAGGTGCACCAAAGCTTTTAAGGTTTAAAATTGCTTACGTTCTAGTTTTTCTATTTGCAGTTGGAGAAAGAGGTGCGAGATCTTATCAAGCAAAGGGATCTTGCTCAATCTCGTATTGAAGAATTGTTACTAGCCGTTAGAAACGATCAAGCTTCAACACAATGGGTAAATGTCGTCTACCAACGTTTTAATCTTCCATCTTGTATAAACCCTAATCCATACCCCCAAAGATTTAGAGATGGGACCCACAAGCCAAGAGTCTTAACGGAATCAGTCTCTCTATCCTATGGGGTAGAGGACAAGGCCACATACATCCCACCCAAACCGTACTTTCGAATGAGATATAATGGGTTCGTTTGGGGGGTCTTCACGAAAACAATGTCTCTATCGTTTGGGGTAGAGGACAAGATTGAATGAGATATACAGGGTTCGGTTTACCTGCAGGCCACATACGCATCTTAGGGCATGTTTGTTAGCAGCTTAATGGGACTCACAGCTTATTCAGTCAGTTATACATGACTGTTTGGTAGTGACTTAATGATATAGAAAGTGGCTTATTCAGTAA